CCCCCCCCCCCCCCCGCCCCGACCCAAATTGGTTCCCCCCGCCGAGCCTTGCGGGTAGCGGCGCCGTCAGCGGCGCTCTGGCGCATGCGCCTTCGTTGGCGCCTGCGGGCCCTTGCGAAATGGCGGCAACGGTAGCGGCTTCGCGGAGCTTGGCGAAGCGCTGGCTGCGGCCGGCGGCGCGGGCGGTGAGTGCTTGTCCTCGGCCCCCTCCGCCCTCCCGCCGGCGTCCCGGCGGAGGGGAAACGGTCAGGCCGCGGGGCTGGCGCGGAGAAGCCCCCTTCAGGAGGGAGACGGGCCGGCCGGGCCTGGGGACCACCACCCCCTGGCGTCCCCTGCCGCTCCCCTCAGCCGCGGCGGGGGAGCGCTCCTGGTGCCGGCCGGGCTCCCCCCTTGCCTTGCCCCGCGGCCTGGTTCGCGGAGGCCCGTAGCCGGTGTCTCCCCCGTGACCTTGGCGGGGGAGCAGCCGCCCCGGGGCGGGGAGCCGCGGCTGGGTTGCGGGAGCGGGGCGGGCAGGGCCGTGCGGGGCCGGGTGCCCCCCTCGGCGGGCTCGTTCCCACCGGTTCTCTTTTTTTTTTTTTTTCCTTCCGAACGGGGGCCGGCCTCGCTACTCGGCTCCTAGGGCGGGTTACTGGGTGGTAGCTGCCTGTAGGCAGGGCTGGGCCGCTCCTCCTGGCTTGGGAAGCGAACGCCGTAGCCTTAGGCCGTGAGGGAGCTCCAGGAGGGATGGGAGAAGGCAGCGGGGACGGGACGTGGTGGGGAAGGGCTCTGGATGAGGCCGGCAGGTGCAGCACCTTCCAGCCCCAGCACCTGGGTAGAGAGCTTATTGCTGGCTGCTTCTGGACCTGTGTGGGAAGCTGGTGTATCTCTGTATGTTGCTTGGATCTGGCTAGCAGTTGTTTCCAGAAGCGGTGCTTCTTAAACGTTTGACTGTTTTGTTTTAGCTGATCTGTAAGCAGTCCTTAGCGAAGGCTTGTTTTCCTCCGTGGTGAAGTGGGAGTTTTCAGCTTCTTTCCACAGTTCTTACTCTGTGTGTCCGTAATGAGCTTGGGATTGCAAAAGACAAATGTGTGGGAAAAGGACCCTGTAAATGCAGCTGTAGTTGTCTCTGTCTTATAAAGCAAGTGCAGCAAAGACAACCTGCTAAGAGGGAGAAAGACTTAAAGATTGTCGTTATGTTTTAGATGGCAGTGAACTGGCTCTGGTTGGACCTTTAATTTCATAAGGGCAGTGATGTCCTTGGTAGCATAACAATTTAGGATTAGTGTGATCAGTGTTTACTTAAAATTTAGTGTAATGTCTTTTTCTGCTTTGTGGAATTCCGTTCAGACTCATTCTGAACAAAACTTATGGTGGCAGAAATTCATATGTATAACTTTAACAGAAAAGTGTATGTGGATGGGAATAGCAGTTCTGAAAACTGTTTTCTCAAAGCTTAGATGTGGAAAGAAAAGTAATCTGCTAAACAGTTGTGTGGTTTGGGTTTTTTTATAATGTATTTCCAGAGTCCTCTGATGCAAAATATATTTGATAACTGTTTATAGCAACTTCAGAAAATAACAAAGTTTCTTCAAAGGAAATTAGTTGCAAGGCATTGTGGCAGAATTCTGACTGGAGATTGCAGCAGGCTGTTTACTCTGAGGGGAGAAAAAAAAAAGGGTCAGTTTCTTCTGGGGCTTTAGGGCATAGTCACAGGGGAGGTGGTTTGTGTTGTTCCCCCCCCCCCCCCCCCCCCTTTTCCC